AGGAGCTAATAGTTGCGAATAGCTCTACAGCTCTACAGATAAGGTTATGTGTCCAAATCCTCGAAAATTATCTAAAATGATTACATAAGCCTTCATACCTATTTTAAGAGTTATAGGCAGTCTATAGCAGCTGAGGAAGGGACAGTTAGTTTTCCAGAAATGAGCTTCCGGATAGGTTGCTTATGTCCAAGTGGGAAAACATAAACCTACGTAATACAGGCAACACTCTAAAGGTTATTATGTATAGTAGAAAAGAAGGAGGTTTGAGGTGAATCACTGGGAAAGTTGAGAAATTAATATGTTGAAAAAACATTGTACTCATGTATGAAATAAAAAAACATTGTACTCATTCATGAACTTCTAAAACAAATTCTAAAAACAATCATAAATAGAAAGCAATATAAGGACTAATATGTATTCGATTTTACATGGATGTTAGCTGTTGGTTAAGTCAGTGATCAGTAGGCTTAGGTATGGAATAGGCATTAGAGAGAGGTATGTATCTCCCTAACAAGAGAAATTGAATAGATAGTTGTGAGTGGACTTTAGTGAGAGAGACTGGAATGAGATGATTAAACTGAGAGGGCATCATAAGAGATCGGAAAGGAAGGAATACGGGCAGAATGGGGAGAGACAACTAAAACTGATAGCCATTTGAGGGCTCATATTGAAACCTATAGTGGATACTTTTTAAAATATTTGCATATACTAAAGGAAACGGAATAGAATAACTAAATAATGGAGGAGAAAAATATCTCAACTAGAAATCCTTTTCTATTAAAAGCAAACCTGCATCTCCATGAACAGGTTATATCTAATTGAGCTGTTGGCCAAAGAGGACCCTTGAAAACCCCTGAATCACCCAAGCCATTGCCAAGCTTATTGGTTGTGCTCCAAAACCAGATGATAAAGCCCTGTTGCTGAAAACATCATTGAACACAGAAGAACCGAGCTGTTGCCTACCAAGAGCCTTTGCCCTTACTGACTGGTGTTCACAGTACTGAAGGTACTCTCCAGACTATCAGAGGAAAAAGGTAAATACCAACTCAGCTGCAAAGCCTTTAATCTACACTAGTGATGGGCCTGCAAGATATGCTGGTGTGATAATGACATAAGCTTTTGGAAGTAAACAACCACTGTCTGATTTCAGGTCCACTCCATGAGTTGGAACCCATGGGTAACACTGCTTGGGTGGCTGAGAGCCTGAGAGACCAGACAGGCCATGGACCTAGGAGAAAAATAAATGCTACTTTTTCCTCCTCTCTTACAATACAACCCAGAGTTTTCTCTCTCTCCACTCCTCTACTCCTCCGACTCTCTTTTCCATAGATCCACTCCTCCTCTGTCTCCCTTTAGAAAAGAGAAGGCCTCCCAAGAATATCAACTGAATGTGGCATAAAAAATTGCAATAAGACTAGGCACCACGCATCATTTCAAGGCTGTGCAAGACAACCCAGTAGGAGGAAAAGGGTCACAAGAGCAGGTGAAAGAGTCAGAAACATCCCACTCCCACTTAAAAAACACCAATCTAACAACCATAACAAATATGCAGAGGAGCTAGCACAGACACATACAGGTCCCAGGATTGCTTCTTCGGTCTCTGTGAGGCCCTCGTGATCCTTGCTTAGTTGATTCTATGAGCCGTGTTTTCCTAGTATCCTTGATCACTCAAGCTCCTACAACTTTTCCTACTCCTATTCTTCAAGATTTGCTGATCTCCAGGGTCCCTATTGAGGGTCCCTATTAGAGGTAATTTGGGCTCTTGCTCTGCAAAATGTATCACTGTGAGTCTCTGAACCTGCTCCCATCAGCTGACAAAAGAAGCATCTCTAATGACAGTTGAGTTAAGCACTAATCTATGAGTGTAGCAGAATATCATTAGCAATCTTCTTACTTTTTTTTTTCATTTTTATCCTAAGTCTCTGGGTTATCCATCCTCTGGCTCCTGATCATGCAGGCTCTGTTAGGCATGGGCTCCCTCTCATGATATCAGCCTCAAATTAAACCAGTTATTGGTTGACCACTGCTACAAGTTATGGGCCTCAATTGTCCCACCACATCTTGCAGACAGAATATATTGTAGGTCAAAGGTTTTATAGCTGGGTTGATATTTCAGTTCCACCACTGGAAGTTGCCTGATTACAGAAGATGGCAGCAGGTTCAGGCTCCATATTCTCCATTACAAGGAGTCCTGGAATTCGAAGGCAAATGGATGGAACTAGAAAAAAAAATCATTCTGGGTGAGTTAACCCAGATGCAGAAAGGAAAACATGATATGTACCCACTTGTTAGTGGATATTAGCTGTAAAATGAGTGGTGATTGTGCTACAATTCACAGATGCAAACAGAGTGAGGAATAAGGAGGGCTCTAAGAGACACCCATGGATCTCCTTGGAATGGGAAATAGAATAAAGTTTGCATGGCAATGGGAGATGGGTGAGAGTGGGAAAAGAATGAACCACCTTGGGGAGACGTAAGAAGAGAACATGGGGAAAGATGACTGAAATTGGAGGGAATATGTGGGTTGATGTGAAAACATAGTCCAGTAGAATCTCACAGGATACCACAAGAATAATCCTACTGAGGATACAATTGTTCTTATCTCAATCAATTTAATCAAACGATTTCACTTTGCAGGAAATTTTGGTATATTTAAACAAGTCATTATTAACATGTGATTTTAGAAATAAGACGAAAATCATTTTAAAAACTTGGTGAATTAAAAGACACTACCTTCCTCTCTGACTAAAGTAGCTGCTGGCCTCAGAAGGTTGGGATCAATCCTGTCAAGTCTATGTGTTACATCCACTTTAAAAAAAAAAGTACATATATATTTATCAGTACACAAAAGCCCCTCTGAGGTTTCTAGTGGTGATTGAAACAGTTCCATGTGGTCACCAGAAAATAAGCCATTCCTCCTAGCAAATGGGATAAATTCCTTGTCCTCAAGGGGCAGGAGTGACTCTTGCTGTGTTTTAGGATTCCTCTGCCTTGTCTTGTAGAGGTGAAGTGCCCCTTGATCATGTCCAGGTTTTTTGTCTTTCACTGTCTGAATCATGTTCTAGCTGCTTGACCCTGTCATGTGGGTTCAGAACTCGTTTGGGCATAAATACTAAATCTCTTTCCAGATCAGTATAATAAAAGAGTGATGTGTAATTAAAAAAATATATATACAAAATAAGATTCCAATCCAAGCAAAGTACAGAGCTTTGAATCCCAATCCAAATATTAGCATCAACAAAACATCCCCATACCTAAAACTAAGGGAACATTGCAGAAGAGGTACTTGAAAGATTGTGAGAGCCGCATGATGAGGAAATTTTCTTTAAGATTGTGTCTCCTAGAGAATATCCTAAGATAGACACATAAAATCTCACCTCCATGACTGCTCAAAAGTGAACTAAACAAAGATGAAAGCAGGCTGGTGATTTAACTGGGAGTGGAGAAGAGAATATAGGAGGGTTTGAAGGGAGTAATGGGAAGGGAGAAATGTAATCATATTATAAAATCAAAAATAAAATAAAAACTGCTGGAAACAATTTGTTAAATGTAACTCTAAATGAATAATTAAGAAATTATATATATATATATATATATATATATATATATATATATATATATTGGTTTTTTGAGAAAGGGTTTCTCTGTGTAGTTTTTCACCTTTTCTGGAACTCACTTTGTAGATCATGTTGGCCTCGAACTCACAGAGATCCACCTGCCTTTGCCTCCAGAGTGCTGGGATTAAAGGCGTGAGCCACCACCACCTGGCAAGAAATAATTTATACAAGTAAGTCCCTTTTAAATTTCAGCACTGCATTTAAAAAAATTAAAGGATACTATATTCATGTATTTTTCAAATGAATGTTCAGAACTTTCCATTATCTATAAATTTAAACTATATTTTTTATTTCTACTTGAAATAAACTTAGCATATATGTACCTAGTTTTCAGTCTAATTTTCATTTTTGTACACAATGTCTTCAAGTAGTTTCATAAAAGATATATTTCCCCAAAGATTTTCTACACTAAATCTGTTTCCATTCAATACACATTCTACAATTTTTTTTTCAGTTTTTTGAGACAGGGTTTCTCTATGTAGTTTTGGTGCCTTTCCTAGATCTTGCTCTGTAGACCAGACTGGCCTCGAACTCAGAGATCCACCTGGCTTTGCCTCCCAAGTGCTGGGATTAAGAGGTGTGCACCATCACTGCTCAGCCACATTCTGCTATTTCTAAGCCTCCACATACAGGATTGTATTTGCGATGCAAAATAAGTTACTTTCAGGGTGGTTTTGTTCAATGCAAGCTTTTTTAATTGAAGAAAAAAATAGTCATCACTCTAGCTTTCATTCTTTATATAAGCCATCCTTCCAATTGATACGTCACATACGTCTCTAAGTGCAGCGATTCTCATTAGAGGAATAATAGCATGGCCAGTCATCTATAGCAGTGCCAACACAGTAGATGAGCACCCAAGAAACAAAACAAAAGAAAACAAAAAACACACATACACTCAAAAAAAGTAAAAATAAAAAATAAAGCAATGATAGAGTGCCTTGTTTCCTTTGCAAGGGAACTGATTATTTTGTAATAATTTATACCGGTCTAAATACAATTCAAGATTAATATGGCTATTATAACAGTGCTTCTCCAGCTGGAATGTAATGAAGCCCAGTTATAAACTGAAAAATGCCCTCTATACTCCAGTGCTTTCACTGCTTTCAATTGTTTTCTTGTTGTTGTTGTTCAAAATACCTTAATATATAGAAGTAGATGGAGTATTCTCTGAAAATAGGCTACCACAACATTTAAAAAAATAATTCTTTTCAAAATATTTGGAAATATGTGAAAAGAGCAGAAGTAATCTATTTGTAATCACAAGGAGGCAAACATAAAGACTGATGACTTGTTTTACCTATATGCAGTCCATCTTCAAGGGAGTTTCTAGTTGCTGACCTCGGGAAAGTATACTTTTTAAGAGTTCTCTAACCTCACAGGAAGAGTGTCTGTAAACATTATACTTCTACTACCAGTCAGTGTGCAAATCTTATGTTGTTTAAACATATTTAGTTATCATTCACACCTCCCAATTTCACTCAAGTTAGAATACTATATTTAGTATTCTAAAAATACACACAAAAAATATATCCAAGAATTCACCAATTTCATACCTGAATCCAGAAGACTTGAAAAGCAGATCTTTGAGAAACAAGCAATCTCTGTGCATCATGTCTTTCCTATGCTTGTTCACGCTAAGGAACATATTGTGCACAAAACAAACCATGTCCATGTGTGAAGCAAGCAATTTATTCTTTGATTGTTTTCAAGGATATGCTGTGTTTATTTATGGGATAATCATACAGCAACCATTGTTTTTATAATATGGTTTTATTTTTATTAATTTTAATTAATATTAATGGCACATTAGAAATATATTTCTTTGATTATTTTTACTATTTTACCTCAGTACAAATTGCTGAAAAAGAAGCACATCTAAAATAAGACTCGGCACCTGGAGTACCCTATTATCTTTGTATACTAAGTTTGACTCCATTCTATTTAATGGGTCTTTCTAAAGGCCACCTCTTTCTTTTATGCTAGCAACATTTCTTCTATGCTATCTTCCTGGGATTTTAATCTTGTAGATTCCTGTCTTTTTTTCTGCACTGTTAATCACTTCCTGCATTAGATATACTAACATTTTAACAATGTTTCCACTGAAGTATTCTGATCAAAATCCTTCTTTGTTGTAACTAACCTTTATACACCTCCTATCACCACAGTGGGGACAGAGATTATGCTTCATTTTTCAGTCTGACCAGCAAGTGACAGTTGCACAATGGGAAGGATCTGAGCCTGCATCTCAAAATTTGAATTCCTTTAACTAGAACCCTGGAGAAGCACTCTAATATACATAGATGTTTCTCCCCATAGAAACTTGTAGAATGTTTTTTAAAGCTCAAGCCATTACCTCAACTTTCATTTGTGCATGAAACAACCTCATCAGATATTTGATCCAGAGTCTATACTGCTCTTCTGTTTCCTTTTCACAGCCAGAGCCTAGCACAAAAGCCACTTAGTGAGTATTGTTGAATAATTGAATAATCTGAAAAATAAATTAATATATAGTAGCCATATTATTTAAGCTGTGGTAAAGCAATTTTAAGTAGAAAAAGATTGTAATATGAGTTGATTGATCTGTTTATCTTCTTCCTCTGATTATGTTGAACATAAAACCTTGGATCAGTTTTTCTTAATAAACTGAAGGCTTCTCTGTGTTTGAGATATTAATATAAGTAGAAAATCAGATAATTTGAAGAAATTTTAAGTACCTCTAGCAAAACCATCTGATAGAAATGAAATGACCCAAAATGGCAAAAGAATTTTGTCAGTTTTGAAGATGCATATGTTAATCTCAATACATGAGAACAGAGATTGCACCAATGACTTATACATATAGGGGATATGAGCTTATAGAAATTGAAAGGTGAGTCAAGATTACTATTCAGGTACTTATGTTCACCAAACATTCTTTTATATTCATCCACCCATTACATCTTAAGTACTATCTGCTGCAAGAATTGGATAATTGCTGGGTGATAATCATACTGAAAATAAATGAAGAGAAATAACAGTCTGGTCTGTGTTTTATCAAAAAGCATAAAAAAAACAAACTATGACAAAAGCATCCTAAAATTATGTTGTCTCTGAACAAAGGCAATGGACCTTACAAATGGTTTCAAACATATCATGCTTTCAATAAGCATAAATAGTTGTAATTATGTGATATCAGTATGTGACTTCTTATCCTATGAACAAAGCTACTAAGGAAGGAAATGTAGGAGACACCAAACACAGACATACAATGATGAAGACAGTTATTTCTATACATGTTTCTTAGTTTAAGACCTTCTATGCTGTATTTATTTCCATATAGCCTTTGAGAGGAATTTTAGAGCAAGACCTTGTCTAATTGTTTAATTACTAAGTGGCAGTTTCCCAGTTTCCTTCAAACACCTTTATTGTTCTTTATTGCACACGTAGCTAAACATTGCTGGATTTGAGCCCCTATATTTTGCTCACCATGTATCAATGTGTCATCAACGTTCAGGGAAAATGAACCCAAACCAAATATAATATCTGTCTCTTCATTCTAGCCTCCTCCATCTACAATAATTTGAGAATTTGAGTGCTGTTGATTATCAGGAATTTCGTTCTTGTCATTTTGTTACAGTAGCACAAATGGACATTGCATTTGGTGCTTATAAGTACATAGTTTAGGTCCGTTATTTGAAGCTTGCACTGTGTAGCTTTCAAGGAGGGCAAACAGAGCAAAGTTTAAAACCAATTTCACATGGTGACTGAGCATTGCTTATCTTTTATTTCTCAGGCTAAAAATCTTTCTGTGGGACATGTTATTTTCCAGTGACTGCTCCCAACAACCTAGCTACATTTCACACTTTAGAAAACATTTCAATTAAATGAGGGAAGAATCTCTGGAAACAATGTTTTCCAAAAGTTGTTTATGCAAATACTGGTTTACATTAATGTTTGAATCTTTTATTTTACATTACCTCACATCATTTTGGCCTCCTTTCCCTCATATATAAGTATGTTTTTTTGAAGAAGAGTTTCAATAAGTTTTGCTTCTCCCACCAAATATGCTCCCAGTTTGAGAGCAGACTCTGTTCTTGTTTATATTTATTTTTTTATCAGACATTTTATCTATTCAAGAGTAGCCTGCTTCCTATCTGTTAGACTGTGAGTTTATAATAAGTTCAAGATAACATCAATTATTGCTGAAGAATCTTAGCATGTTATCATAAAATTTGGAATTTATATTTTTATAAAGACCATGTTAACAAAGTTAATATATAGCAAGAATTCAATGCTAATTAGTGCTAAACAGATATAACAAAGCAACATATCAGAGATAAGGTGGATCCCAAATCACCCTCATAAAGAAATATCCACCCTGAATGAAATGAAAATTCTATATAAATTCACCTTTAAATAACTGTTATAAAAAACTATTATGTATCATATATATCTAGATAAATAAATTAGAAAGAACAAACCAACAATCTTTCCACCATAATAATCTCTTTATAGCATTGATGGAGTTCCAGGGATTTTTAGTTTCCACTTTTTTGACTGCAGTATCAAATACTTTTATTATAATATAATAATTAAAAATGATATTAAAACAATCATGGGAAAGTTCACTGTCATTAAAATGAGAACTCATTAATTTGTGTTAATTAGTATGCTAAATATGAATTTGTCTTATGAGACTAAAAAATTATAAATGACACATTTTTACCAAGGGAATAATCATTTTAACTTTCCCATTCTTTGTTCAGCCACAGTTTACTATTTTCAGCTATTTTACTTGTTCAGCCACAGTTTGTTATGTTTTAGTGCTTATCAAAAAAATTCTCTTGTGTAATCTAAATATGATGTGGAATCATACACATATTAAAGTATTTAATTACTATAGAAAGTGAAATCACTAATTATCATATATTTGCGCACTTCAGCTCTAATTATTTTATTTATTAAATGTAAGTTTTAATTAATTAATATTTAAAATAATATTAATGTGTTCATATCTAGAGGGAATCAAATGTCCCCAAAATTATATTCTGTTATTTAAAAAAATAGAGTCAGGGTTACAGAAAATAATTAATTTAATAAAAACTGAGTTCTGATATTAAAAGTGTAAATATTTAAACGCTTGAATATATTACTGAATAGGTATAAAGTAATTGTTATACTAATTAAACATTTTTACATCAATTAACATGGTAATCTGACACACTATACCAAATAAAATATAATTTCATTATTTTAATCCTGGCCATGATATTGAACTTTTATTAATTTCTATATAAGAAATCATGGCCGCATATTGTAATATGAAGCTATAGTAATAAACACACCATGGTATTGACACACATACACTCAAAAAATAATCAATGAAATCTAATTGAAGACCCATATATAAATCCACAGAAGTGAGGATATCTGATATTTTATAAAGAAGCCAGGACTGCACATGGGATGAAAGACATGTCTTCAACAAATGGTTCTAGTCAAACCGGGTGACTGCATGTAGAAGAATCGAAATAGATCCATGCATATAGCCCTACACAAAACTCAACTCAAAATGGATCAAAACCTCAACGTAAGACCACATACACTAGAAGAAGGGTGAGGAATAGCTTTAAAATCGTTGGCACAGAAAAAAACTTACTGAATAGAACACAGTTTGCACAGGCACTATGAGCAACACTTAATAAATAGGACCTTACGAAACTGAAAATCCTCAGACAAACTGGCAGCCTACAAAATGGGAAATATTTTTACTAATAACACATCCAATAGAGGGCTAATTCCCAAAATATATAAAGAACTTAAAAAAAATAGTGGAACTATGAAACTTGAAATAAGTGGATGGACTCTTTTTTATAAATAAAACCACATGAAATTACAAAATATTTTATGTTAAGTATTGATTTTAAGGAAATATTAAAAATTAGTATTATATTGGTTAAATGATTTTTTAAATTTATACTCAAAAGATCACAACACGTGGTACCTTAATCACGGTTCTATTGCTGTAAATTGACACCATGGCCAAAACAACTCTTATGAAGGAAAGCTTGCTTACAGGTTCAGAGGTTTAGTTACATTATTATCATAGTGGGAATATAGCTGCATGTAGGCAGACACTGGAGCAATAGCTAAGACCTACATTCTGATCCATCCACAGGCCAAGAAAGAGAGAGAGACAGAGAGACAGAGACAGAGATGCTGGGGTAAATGCTGAAAGATCAGAGAGACAATGGAACAAGCCACTGCCACATCTCATTTGCCAACTCCACGAGTCCTGTTTTATAGCCTCTGCGTTGTCAGCTGAAAAAGCTCTCTAGCTGAAAGGCCTCTTGCCAAAAAGGCCTCAGCTGAAAAAGCTTTAGTTCCTGTCTCCTCATACCTTATATACCTTCCTCTGCCCAGCCATATTACTCCCTTCCTAGTGCTGGGATTAAAGGCCTGTGTGCTTCCCAAATACTGGTAACAGGCATGAGATCTCAAGTGCTGGGATTAAAGACATAATTCCCAAGTACTGGGATTAAAGGTGTGTGCCACCACTTCCTGTCTCTGTTTCTCTCTTAGAATGAATCATTCTCATGTAGTTCAGGATGGCTTTGAACTCAGAGATCCAGATGGACCTCTGCCTCCTCTGCTAGGATTAGGTGTGTGCCACCACTGCCTGGCATCTACATTTAATCTAGTGGCTTGTTCTGTTCTCTGATCTTCAGGCAAATTGTATTAGGGTACACAACATATTACCACAAGAAAGAGATTGAGAGAGACTGAGCTTGGTAAGAGCTTTTGACACCTCAAAGCCTACCCCTGTTAAATACTTCTTCAATAAGCACATACCACCTAATCCTTTTAATCCTTTCAAATAGTGGCACTCCTCAGTGACTAAGCATTTAAATATACTAACCTATGGGAGCCGTTATTAACCAAACCACCATCTTCCACACCCTGGCTTCCCTTGGCTTGAAGCCATATTATAATGCAAAATGTCCAACTTCAAAAGTTCCCATAGTTTGTCATAGTCTCAAGACTTCTTGAAAGTCTCAAGTCCACAGTTTCTTCAGAGACGCATAACAATTTCTCTGTTCTAACCTTGATAAAATCAAAATTGAAATGCACATAACATATTTCCAACATACAATAGCACAGAATATGTATTGCCATTCCAAAGAGGAGACAGGGAACATAGTCAAGAAATACTGGAACAAAGCAACACTGAAAACCAGCAGAGCAAATTCCAATCTGCATTTCTATGTATGCTGTCTTAGTTAGCGATCTGCAGATCAAGTCTTTTCTTTCAGAGTGGTTGACTGAAACATAGTTCTCTATCTAGGAAATTCTCTATACCTTATCTCCAGCTGTCCTTGGTGGGCACCCCTTGATTCTAGCATCTTGGAGTTTCCAAGGCAATCCAGCCTTCACCTTCTTAGCTTCGCCAAATAGCCTCTCTTAGTGGGCCTTTAAGCAGGGACTCTCTGGACACACACCAGGCCCCAGTGGCTTTCCATAGATGCAGAGGGACATTCCCCAACCCTTTTTTGTGCCCTTAACTCTAAAGCCTGAAGCAGGTGGATAAAGATGGGTCTGAAAGTTGACCTACTATTTCATTTACATTTGCATCAACTTGTCATTATTGATGGTTTCCCTCAGTGCTTAGAGCATTTTTAAATTCCTTTTTACAAGTTTAAAGTTTAGCTGGGTAGTGTTTTGACCTGAGGTCACCACTCCCTTTATTTCCTTTAAAATCTAACTTTTTCTTTAAATGTTTCATTTTTTAAGTATTGACTATAACTCCTCCATTGCACTTCCTAGTGCTCCTTTTCTTCTCAAACTGTACATTTTTATGTTCATTTTTACTTTCTCATCTTCCACCCTCTCATTATAGATCTGCATAAGAGTGACCACTAATAACCATACAACAAACTCAATACTAGGCTATATTGAAATCTCCTCTGTTAAAATCATTAATCCAAAATTCTTCAATTTAACCTCAAGCAGATTTTTTGGCTAAGGGAAGAAAGAAGCCACATTCTTCATCAAAATACCACAACAGCAGTCTCTAGGCCAATTAATTAATATCCTCTTCTAAAACCATATGAGCTGGGTTATCATAATCTCCATTGCTCTCAGCACTACCGTTTTTTTTCATGGTCCTACTAGGTCTCATTAAGGACCAATTAATGTGTTCAACTGCTTTCCTAATACAAATGTCCAATGACCACATTCTGCCAACAAGAGTATGATCAAGCTTGTTATATCAAGACCCTGCTTCCTAGTAGCAAATTCTTAGTCCACAGTTCTACAGCTGTGGGAAAACTCTATTACCAAGGCAACTCTTATGAAAGAAGAGAATTTCCTTAGAATTTGAGATGTTTAATTCATTATCACCATGGCATAGAGCATACTGGCATGCAGGCAGGTGCTGTGGCAGTAGCTTAGAACTACATCCTGATTTGTAGGCAGAAAGGAAGAGACTTGGTAGAGGGCCCTGTAATTGGAGATTATAGTCCATCATGACTGGACAGCTCTCCAAGCTCAGCACAAAATGGAGAACGCCTTTGCACCATCAGGGGCTCCTTGTTCTCTACCAGATCTTATTTTGAGGCTGTTTTGGAGCTTGGATCCCTGACTTAAGTGTGACCTTTGACAGAGTTCCCTGAAAATGTTCTCCCCCTGCTGCCCATATAACTAGGTGTTGTGCTCCAGCTGTATGTTAGGATCCTGCTGTCAAATGCAAATTAGGTGATGCCCTAGCTGATGTTCCCATCCTATATATTCCCCTCACTCTAGGATAAAGTTGAGCTGTCTCCTAGAAAGCTATTTCCATCGAGCTCACAGGCCATAAAAAGCCCTGCTCACCACTTCTGCATCATTTATCCTCATGGCCTGGTGGCCAATGGACTTTGGGGGAAAAAGGGGATCCCACAAGACTAGACATGGTATAAAACCTCAAAGTACAACCCCAGTGACACACTTCCTCCAGCAAGTCCATACTTCCTAATCCTTCCAATTTTGTTTTCCAAATCTTGCCACACTGTTGACTAAGCACTCACAAATATGAACCTTTGAGACTTATTCAAACCACCACATATGACAAATGTCAAATGTTTTAAACAGCTACATAAAAATACCATTTTGATATCCAATTCTAAGAAACATGGAGAGATAAATGAGATAAAATTGTAATGCTGGGTTTTTTTGCATTTTTATTAGCTGAACATATTGATTAGAAAATAATACATTTTCCCAGGGCTGCCTTTGTTTTCTTGGGCAAAGATGGTAGCACTGGCAGAGAAATTGCTGTTAAACATGTATCTATTATTCTATTCCACCTCATTTTATTCTCAATGATTTCCTGATGGGTGTAAAAATAAGTAGATTTAAGAGATTTCACAAGTACTGTAAGTATTTTTTTTTCAAGGTGATATTTTGTAATTTGAAACTGTTATTATCTTTCCTCTCTAAAAGAAATCAATCCTTTTACCATTGTGTTACTTTACATACACAAAAGTCCATATGTATTTTGGAGAGTGTTCAGAACTTAGCTATGACAAACCACATTATACCATTTAAATGGAGCATCAGTTAAGGTTGGAAAAAGCAACATTTTCATTGCACCAGATCCTCTGTATGAGAAATGTCAAAAAAAGGCTGAAATTCTATTTAAAAACAATAAAGAATTCTAATTACAAACAATAAAGAACTTTCGATTACAGGACTTGCAAAATGTGTGTCTGCAACTTCTAGTTATACTGAAATATTCACTTGCATGTTATTTTATTGTTAGTTAATAGTTGTATTGATTTATGATGAGACAATGAAACTGCATACAGTTGATATATGAAGAACTATCATTTAAAAATTCTTTGGGAAATTACATCTTTCCTTTCCAGAAAAACTACCTATCTAGCTCCATCTGTCTTCTATCTATCTATCTATCTATCTATCTATCTATCTATCTATCTATCTATCTAATCTGTCTTCATCATCTTCATCTATGTATCTATCATCTACCTATTAATATATCTATCATATATCATATATCTGTTTTATCTGTCTACTATCTGTCAATATTTATAATGTGCATCTATTTACATACTTATTAAATCAATTCTTTATTTTTCTATTCAACTCTTATAATGTGCCACTATTTTATTTAATCATTGTTATCTTAAAGATGACAATATCACACATGAGAATTTGATTATAATCATGTCTTAATAGCCTCATGGTTGGTCCCCTTCCACCAATTGTCTTCTTCTTCTTGACTAGTATTCCTACACACTTGTTTGTTTGTTTGTTTTTTCCTTTCCATTTCTTGGCATTTTATGTTGTTTTGTTTTTGTTATTTGTGTGTTTCTTGCCCCATATATCTGAATAAACACATTTTCTTTTTGTTTATTATTGCAATGGCCACGGCATATCCAAAAGATATCACTTACATTGCTACCCATACTTTGTTTACCACAATTCTTTCACCATTACAATGATTTCTGCATCTAACTTCTGTGTTGATTCTAGGGGTGACCTAGATGTTTCCTTTGGAATCAAGCATACAGCAATCACTTCTACTCTAGTATTTTATGCTTGGCTTATTTTGTTTAATTTGATAATTTACCAATTATTACATGCTTTATCCTTCTTTCAGTGAGAGTGAGTGAGGTAACCCAGACTCAGAAAGAGAAACATGGTATGTACTCTCTCATAAGTGGATACTAGATGTAAAGCAAAGATTAACCAGACTACAACTCTTACTCTTGTTATAAATTTAAAACCTTCTTTTAGTTATAACTATTATTTAAAAATATTTCTAGCATTGATTTAAAAAACATTTTAGTGGATTATTCTTTTTGAAATTTAAGTATTATTTTATTTTGTGTTCACTCAAAGATGTTGATGACATGAAGCAGAGCATTTGAACTTTATGGAATACATATTTTAATGTGTGGGAAATGAAAATTAAAAGCTGATTAATTCACAATATTAATGACATTTATACTTTCTTTTGTATCTGTTTTATGTATTTTGATCTAGTTTGCTTTTATGCTTCTTCTTTCTTTGCTATTGTTTTATTTTAAAAAAATAAGTGATCAAATCTTTTTTTATAATTTTTTATTTTAAAATAAGATTTATTTTTCCTTTTATATACCAACCTGTTCCCCCTCCCTCCTCTTCACCTGCTCCCCCCTCCACCTACCCCCATCCCACCCCCACCCCCATCCCCTCCTCATAGAGAGTAAGGCCTCTCTTGGGTAGTCAACACAGGTTGTCATACCATGTTGGGGTTTGACCTAACCCCTTCCTCCTGCATCAAGGCTGAGTAAGGCATTGTAAGTAAATGGGAGCTCAAGTGATCAAATCTTATCTGGATTCCTCTATGTGAGTCTGAAAAAAGTTTAAATTTCTTAGGATTTCATGGCTAATTGTGTAACAATAAACTTAAAACATTATAGGTGACTTTGCACAGAGAAGTGAAAACTACTCTTCTTGAATGATGACGCTTCTTGAATAGTGGACAGATGTGTGAGGAATACAAAGTGATGACTTTTAATATGGGAATATAACCCATCCATTGTTATTTTTATTGTAGGTTATTCAGATACACACAGACAGACATTGACAAAGAGCTGTAATATCTTAAGTTTTATTGTTTATCTGTAAATATCTTATTTTTTATTGTTTCATTGTTTAGTATTTTATTCTATTTTATCATGAATAGGAATATTTTAACTATTATTCTCTTTATTCTTGAAGAAACTATACCTTAGAAAGAGCCCTCCAAGTGGATCTACAGTGAAGATTTTGTTAATTATTAAATGTAAGGTAATCCCTGAATATGATTGACAAACATAATACACACAAACCAGAAAAAAGATAAATGTCACTACATTCTAACACTGATTATAATATCTATTATCATGTAATATAATTTTTGAACTTTTCTGTTAAAATATTTCTATACAGTAGCTAATGATTTATCTAATAAATATTAAAAAGAAATAGCAATAATAAGTAGCTTTTAACAAATTGACCTGAGGTTTGTCAAATTCAGTGGCTTACTTATTTGAATAATATTTTAGGAAATTTAGATATAAATTCAGAAATAAATCAATGTTTATATTCTAATTAAAAACTGAAGATATGCCGGGCGGTGGTGGCACACGCCTTTAATCCCAGCACTCGGGAAGCAGAGCCAGGTGGATCTCTGTGAGTTCGAGGCCAGCCTGGACTACCAAATGAGTTCCAGGAAAAGGCGCAAAGCTACACAGAAAAACCCT